GGACACGCACCACAAATTGTGCAGAAATCTTGATTTTGCTATGTAATTTGGATCCACTTCTTCAGAAGGCGTTAGTGCACGAAGGCATTTTAGCGTTACAGTCAAAAGACCGGCATGTCTGCTCTCGGATCCTCTCTGGATACTATGATATGTATTAGGGAAAAATCTTCCGATTGGCCTGGCAACACTTGTATTGGCTTTAATAGTCTAGTGCATGAAGTACTTCATGGTCTAGTGAAAGTAAATACGTGAGATAGATGTTTTCAACGTTCTAATTGAAGTTTAATTGAATAAAAATAAAATTTGTTGCTATTCTTTTTATGTATGTGATAAATATTAGTGCAAATTACTATGGGTGATAAATCAAATTTTTATAAAAAAAGACGGAAAATAAAACACACTATCGAAAAATATGAACTAGGTAAATAATCGAGATTTTCTACTTCTTAGGACTTAGAGAGTTAACTTCTTTATATTATTCCTTATGTATTACTTTCTGTATTTGATGTATATAATCTAATATAAAAAAAGGAATTAAAAATAATATCAATTTTACAGAGAAAACTGTGTTGCATTTGTATGTGTGTACATATATTAAATTAGAAATATACTGATATTTTAGAAATAAAAAGTGTAAAATATTTTACATTCCTTTAAAATAGATAAAATAATATTGCAATCTCATTTTTTTTATAGACAAAAGTGAAACAAATTATAATTCAGATAATCTAGATATTGGCAGAAATGCAGATATTCCATATTATGGATGGAGATTGTTTTTTCCTGACAAAGGTAAAGATATTTGTTTTGTTTTGCTTAATACGATTTTAGTAAACTTTATATATCAATAAATTATGTTTTTGTGCAGAATATAAAATCGATTGTATTATTTCAAAGCAAATTAAAGCTGTAGAAATCTATATAGAAAGACATAAAGAGCTATCAATGTTACTTACAATGACAAATTTTGAAGCAGGAATGTCTTTTGATATTGACATATCTGAATTGTATAATGATAATGAATTTATGACGCAATGGCCAAATTTCAAACATGATATATATGAGAATCCAACAAATACATTAAATTGTATAAAACTTGGTATTCATCAGGTATTATTTTTATTGTTAAATATATTTTTAAAAATTAATTTTGTATTGTGAATACTTATGTATGTCCACATGTATATCCATACATACATGCATATATGTACAAATATTTCATGCACACATTGATTTTTTATTACAATTATTTCTTTTAAGAACTTTTACCACAAATTTACTCACAAATGAAGTTTGTTTATACAGGGTGTCCCGTAATGACCGGACCAACGCTTAAGAGTAGATTCCTGAGAGCATTTTAAGACAAAAGTTTCAATACCAAAATGTTGAGGCTATAATAGTTTTTGAATTATAAGTGTTTAAAGTTAACTAATCAGATCGTCTAAAGTTGGTGCGCTCAGGTACGACACAAACTTCTAAAAACAAAAGCTGACTTATCGCCCCTTTTATTAATATCGATATAAGGATTACATGTGTGAATATAAGATTATTTTTATTGATATTTCTGCAAACACATTAATTAATAACTAAAATTGTATTTAAAATTGTGGTATTTCATATTAAATGTCATATTTAATTGTTAAATTTAGTTGTTAATTTAATTTTTAATTTTCATGTTTATTTTCTTTGGATTATTTTAATCAAATGTTTAAAGTGTACTTAAATAAGTTTTATTTCAGGATATTATAGTAGTAATTATAGTAGCTTATCTTGTAAAATAATTATAGGGCAAGAGATCGGAAGAGCAC